TTCGAACCAGCGATCTCACATTTTAGGAGGAGTGGGTATCCATTCAAGCCAGACTCTATGTCGTTGATCGATCCGGGCGATGTACCAGTTTACCATACAGCCATGGCGGTGAGTATATGTTTGTCAGCCCTGCCCAACATTGTGCAGTATAAATTTATTGTTTGAATTTGATTTCATTTAGCCCGTTTAGGTAAATCTAGCTATAATATTTACACAGGAAGAAAACATATTTGGTAAAAACCCCCCACAACTGTCTGTGTCGTGTCTATATGATTTCCGAGGTTTCCTACAAGAAATGCGCTTACACTGTACGTACAGTGTGAATACCTTCTTATCCTTTTCCCGATCGCTCAATCCTTTCACTGACAGCTATCTCAACTTCTTCTGCAAGCCGGAACTGTTCAAGCCAGCCGTTTATAATTATCCACTCTGTAATTCTCTTCATGTCATCCAGGCTGTTCATTATAGCTTCGAAAGACCTATCTTTTGCCTGTTGCAGCACCTCTCCTCTTCTCTTAGCCCATTGAGGGCAAGCCATGGTCATATGTTTCACGTCTTGTGACGGATATCCACACTGGCACTTTGGATTTGCCACTCCAGGGACCTTTCTTCTATAAAGATAAGAGTTGAGGCCGATATGCTCACTTCTTACTTGTATTGCAATACTATTTTGGGCCCTGCTCAGGTTTTGGTGGATGTTAGTGGGTGTGTATCTGTAGGTGATTCTTTTTCTGCCTGTTCTCTTGTCGGTGTTTATACTTGCTACTTTCCAATGTTCAGAGTCTGCCGACGCCTGATGAGAAGATAGCCGCTCTTCCTTAAAAGTTTTCCATGTGCTTTCCCACTCCTGGAATGCTGCTATCTTACCCGCTTCTTTTTGTCTATGCCTCACCAATTTATTGTTATTATTATTACGATACGTCTTCAAATTACACCCTCAGGGCTTCATACACGCAATGAGCAAGGCAGTGTAGGGGCTTGAACATGTAACACCTACACGGGACATGAAAGCCAATCTAGTCTTAGCATTACTCAGCAAACATCCACACCCCATGTATATAGAGCTCGCTGTAGTTACTCCTATTTCTCCTTCCATAGCCAATCTATCTTACATTCCCAAGGCTGCCTCTCTACCATTTTCATACCTCGTGATTCCTAGGCTAAAGCTTTTTATCTACAATAGAAGAAGGACCGGTGGAGCCGGCAAGGTTCCCAGCAATCTTTCCTGCAGCCTAAACTCGTTCCAACCTCGTGAATCACTGCCAAAAGTGCAACTGAGTAAACAGAAACGAAAAATCACTAAAATCAAAAACAACTCCGAAAGACTGAAGGTTCCTCCATGTTGGACCCAGCCAATGCGCTCCTCACACATTTCATCGTCCGTGACACCTTCCAAATGACAAATTTACCCAATCTCGGCTGAGAGCTAGAGATGGGTTAGCAGGTACCTTTGGTACAGCCGGCATCTGTGCAGGATAAATGATTAATTGATTGTTGTTTTAACGTGCCAGGCTCTAGGCTTGCATTTAATTTGACATGATACGGGCAATTGATCCTATCAGACTCTATTCTTCCGAGATAACCAATTCACAACGAGCCAGTAATAAACACTAAAAAAACAAAATACTTAGATCTATTCTCCTACGTCTCACCTTATCCCCTCAATGTTTTCTACCAAGAGACAGCCTTCTAAATCAACACTTTAGCTTGCGCTAAATGTTGCTGTATAGACCGAAGTCATTCCCTGAGCCTCTATGCACTGAGGCAAACGTGATACGTCCTATGTGTAAAGAATTGGTAGTATTATACAGAACTGTGGCCTTGGTGCTCATAAAATTTCCTATCGCTTACCTCTTCTATTTCTTGATCTAGGTCTCAGATGCCTCTCCTCTCTCAAGCTGTATAGTCCCATTAACGTAACAGACCCCCAGCTTTGTTTCTTATGAGTTATTTCCTCTTTACGGCTATAGTTAGCATCATAAATTAGATATTTAGTGATAGCCGGTGATTAATGAATCACGCTCCCGTTTGTAAGAGGAACAATTTCTTGACCGTTTGTTGAAGCTAGTTACTTTGTGGTATGATAAAGTTTGAGGACTCAGGTGAGAATGATAAGATTGATGTTAATAAGAAGTCGCAAATAATAGGCATGCTTAATCTTTCTTGACTTCGATTCGGATACAATTCTTCTTAGCTATCCCGTTTATACAGAGTATACTGAGCGATTACGCCGGTACCTCTAGAGAGTGAAGAGTTCATTTTCGCCGGCTTACCTTGTACAGTATTCCTATCCTCTTTAGTTACGTTAGTGAGATCTCTGACACACTACCCGCCATGGACCCAATGTATCCATTTTTTGGTAGCCTTTGCGACGGTCTAGACTGATTTCGTACCGACTAGATTGTAGTTTCTCTGTGAGGCATTGGGATTTGTTCCAGTTAAACATGATGTCTGATTTTAGACAATTTGAATGTAGAGGCCTAGCCGCTGTTTTGCAGCAGAGGGATGTATGAAAAGGCTTTCCTTGGAAAGTCGTGACAGCAATAGTTGTCGTTTGTGGCTGTGAGAATTTTGGACAGACAAGAGCTTGCATGTTAATCGCATTTTGGTGAAGCAGTCTGACCTAAAGAATTATGCATCGAAGAATGTTTGGGATTCGTGGGTCTGACTAAATTTAAGCTAGGACCACCGGCCCAAGATTCTATCCGATATGGACTCGCTTAAATCTTCATGGCTTGAGGGTTGCCATGCAAATATTCACTATTCTCGGGCTCTTTCATCGGGAATACTGCAACTGACCGTTCCGTAATTACACGGTGCAATCGGAAATATGTGTAAAACAAGTTTATCTTTGCGTGTCTACACCTTCCTACACCAGAGACCTGCGTGTAAAGGCTTGTTTGTCATTGTTTCGAGGAATTATTCGTCAGGGCGTAAGGAGGCATGACCAGGGTTCTTAGAATGGATGGAGACTGGTCCACATGACCTACTACGTTGACTACCGCCTAAAACTAATTCCGACGGTGCCACCTTGAAACTGGCGATTCAGGGATCGCACTAGCCTGATGTCGTGAGTAGGGATATGGCAAGGCGGTAGGGGCAGGTTAGAGAAGACACGGTATCACGTATTATTCTTATCAGAACCATATCTACCAACTTGATAGCTGTAGGAGACTCAACAAAGATTGATCTAATTTTAATCACTACCGAAAATAGCCTTGCTACAGTGGCGATATTGGGAATCGTATCAAGCGAGTAGTTCCAGGCTAAAGCGGTAGATTATCTCAAAGATAACAACGTTACAATACACGAGTGAACTGGCTACTTGATGCATTCAAATGAGAGCACCTGGTAGCGTGTAAATCAAGGTTTGTAATGTAACTACATAGAATAATGGTGTCGATGATCCATGCAAACGACGGCATTTGCTCCTAAATCTTTCGGATTACCCGCTTGAATTATTAAGAGGAGAGTGTAGTAATGGAATCTGGGTTACTAGTTACAAGTAGATAACATCGAAAAGGATGCGGTGAGAAGCAAGAGAAACTAGAAATTCGCTTTATTGGATTATTGTAACTTAAAGGTATGAAGTTTGGCTATACGACACGTCCATGGTGGAATCTAGAAGTAGACGATCGTTGTTGAAACGACGCTCAAGCAATATCTGTGTGAACAACTCGCGCCAGGGGAAACTCGCAAAAACGTACGGGGCCAGATGGCGTCTTCCGGGGATGTCCATCTGTTACTTCCACAAACAAATTGTAATTGAGATAGTCAAAATTGTTGAAGCTCGCCCTCATTCAATATCCGTTGCTACTGTTCCGGCCATGGGAGTCATACCCAACACTGCTACCCTCTCCCCACCATGATATTATACAAGCTTGTGAATTTGGATAGCAGAAACATAATTGAATTTATGAAAGGTCCTAGTTGTCTTGAAATATACACCAATCATTCACCCTCCTCATAGTACCTATACTATGGCAATATTGTCGAAAGCGCTGTAGGGACTTTGGGTTCGATGAGCTATTGATTTAAAGGTTGCTATCTCGAAGGAGAGGGTGTAGTATAAAGGAGTAATACTTAGTGTCTCAAGATTCTAAAAATCTCAGGTTTGATTGAAATTTTCCTAAAGAGGTCACTTGATTGAACTGTCAGAGATAAAATTAGGACAAGGTCTGTGGTGATGAGCTGGGTTCGGACGTTTTCACTAAATCCATCAGGCTTCATCGTGCGCCGGGGCGTGCAAAGATACACGTCTTGTCCGTTTAATTAGGTGAGATGTGGCGAGCAATTCGAAGTGCTGAGTGTGCTGATGGTAGTCCAGACCTTTGAATCTTGTGTACATCTTTGGTCGATAATATTAGAGGTAGCCAACAGGTATCCAGCATCATGCTCAGCTCACCAGTGGCTAAATGATAGGCAATGGTCGATAAGTACCCCAACTTTTTCCTGAAGGGGGCAAGTACAATCCTAGGGTAGATCAAGGTAAGATACATGGCACTCCGCTCGTAATGATTCAGACCCACGCGTAAACTTCGTTCAAACACATTGTTTGTAAACCCTGCAACTCTTCGGTCAACCTTGTCATCCCTTCCATGTCGGTCATTCAATCTGTCTAGTCTTGCGTCTCCTGTATCGCAGTCAGACGGCTACGTATCCGTCGTTCTCTCTCCATTCCCCATCTGCGCCAAAAATCTTCCGTTATTCAAATATTTTCAAAATCTGGCTGAATAACGTTTGCCGACCAACTTATCAACTGTCCCAAATCGACCCGATTTTCAATCAAGATATTACTCATCCTCTACGTTCGAGAGACTGACGCTTACAATACCACTCGAAACTCGTGTATAATGTCTTTATAAACTTTTCAATCGCTAAGAAGCCCATCACCGCAACTTGCTCTTATTAAGCCTATCGTTAGACATTAAACGGGTGTGAGCTTCAATCTAGAATCTTCGCCGTACTCTGCAAAATTACTTCAGGACTGATCAGATCTCATGGACGCCTTCCGTCCACAGAGTTTTACAGAGCGCCGCGCCTCCATGGTCCTCAGTAATGACGATGAAAGCACATCTACCCGTCCTCTTTCCTTAAACACTGCTTCTCAGAATATTTATTTATCGTCTAGAGTTGACAAAATATTACAGTCTCACCTTAAAGGCCCTCCCACACCAAATATGAATACACCCTCTGTTGATCCTGACTCACCTACACATTCTTCTCATGATCCACCTCCGCCCCCCACACCTGCTGCAAGCCCGGGACCCGATCACCCACAGCCTGACTGGAGTGATGCAGGAGATCAGGAAGATTTCTTCTTAGCTAAAGTAAGGTTACACTTCAAGGATAGCTCGCCGGCCGAAAGAACACGCATTTTAGCTGATTTACTCAATCTCTGCACAAGCCAGCAGCTTTCTTTCGTACGTCAATATGTTGATCCGCTTCTCAAGAAAGATCCCTTCACAAGCCTACCTACTGAAATTTGTTTAAGAGTAGGTTTAATTCCAGATCTGGGATATATGAAGCTAATCAAAAATTAGATATTAAGTTGCATCGATGATCCCAAAGTACTTGCCAGAGCGTCACAAGTTTCCCAACGATGGAGAGAATTATTAGCAGATGATGTAACATGGAAGAATTTATGCGCTAAGCATGATTATGGCAGGAGACTTTCTGAAAATATTACAACTTCACCCCAAATCTGTGCTAAATCTCAGCCTCCACATTTCTTTTCGGGATCATTACTCAACAACGAATATCCATCTCATGCTTGTTCTACCAACCTACCAGCTCATCCATTTCTTCCAGGAAGCTCAAGGTGCCTTGAGTCATCTCTCTCCCTTAAAAAACAAAAAGTCAGAAGCTATAAAAGTCACTTTAAGCAGAGATATCTAGTTGAGGCAGCTTGGAAAACTGGCGGTCAACATGTAGCCCGGAATATAACGCAAGATCAAGGCGTAGTCACCAGCCTTCACTTAACGCCTAAATATATTGTTGTAGCCCTAGATAACGCTAAGATCCATGTATTCAACACTGACGGGAATGCTCAAAAGACATTGGTTGGACATGTGATGGGCGTGTGGGCTATTGTTCCCTGGGATAATCTGCTGGTCAGCGGAGGCTGTGATAGAGACGTGAGGGTCTGGGACATGACAACTGGGTAAGCCACATCTCTCTATTTATCACCTAGCTAAAATTACTAGGGAATCTGTACATACGCTTCGAGGTCACACTTCTACTGTCCGCTGCCTCAAAATGTTTGATTCTACGACTGCCATTTCTGGATCACGCGACACAACCCTAAGAGTCTGGGACATCAAGACAGGATTATGCAAGAACGTTCTTGTCGGTCATCAATCTAGTGTTCGATGTCTAGAAATAAAGGATGATATCGTAGTCTCAGGTAGTTACGATGCAACTGCGAAAGTATGGAGTATATCTGAAGGAAGATGTTTACTTACGCTGGCCGGTCACTACTCACAGATTTATGCTATTGCGTTTGATGGGAAGAGAATAGCTACGGGAAGTCTTGATACTAGCGTTCGTATTTGGGATCCAATTACTGGGTAATGCTCACCTTCCCGAAACTTTTAATATACTAACCATTACAGTGTTTGTCAGGCGGTCCTACAAGGTCACACATCTCTTGTTGGTCAGATACAAATGCGAGGTAATACTCTAGTCACAGGCGGCTCTGATGGTTCGGTCCGAGTGTGGTCTTTAGAAAAAATGGTTCCGATTCACCGGCTTGCGGCTCATGACAACTCTGTTACCTCACTTCAATTTGACGACAATCGAGTAGTTAGTGGTGGAAGTGATGGTCGGGTAAAAGTATGGGACCTCAAAACTGGACAACTTGTGAGGGAATTGACAGCACCGGCAGATGCGGTGTGGAGAGTTGCATTTGAGGACGAGAAGTGTGTAGTAATGGCAAGTCGGAGTAATCGAACTATTATGGAGGTTCGTCTATATATTCTACATAACAAAATTGTCGCTAATGCAAGCAGGTATGGTCGTTTTCTCCTCCTGACGAAATGCTATTCGAATCAGATCACTCATATTCATATTCGGTCTCCTCAACACCAGCTCAGCGAATCCTTCACGAAACACCTCCAAGGCCCCAATCGGCTGCGGAGTATCGAACAACAATAGCTCACGACCAACAGATTTCGAGTCTTCAAAGCCCAGTAGTGGGAAGAATGAGTAGGTCATATGTTAGTTGGGCTGGTGAGGACGTTGAAATGTCGGGAACTCATGCTGAAAATCCCAACCATCTAATTGCTACCGAACCAAGCCATACGTTGCCATTGAGTGTGACAAGCTTCTTTCGTGACGACTGAAGTCCTAATAAAAATACCCGAATGAGGACTCTGTGTGTCCAAAAATTGCTAGTGTTGTTGGGAAAATAGAGTGCTACTCATGGACATGGATTCGACTATTATAAGTCGTCAATTTCCAAAAGTATGAAGCTGCAGTTATGAAATTGTAACTGTTCTCAATTACATTATTCAAGGGTCTTCAGGACCCAGAAAGCCAATTGCCATCTCCAGGATTTTTGCTTCCGATTTCATCAGCTCTTCAAAGGTTGAGCTAGGAAGATGGAGCACGATTCAACTTTCAGCTCTAAAGAAGTAAGCGGGCTTGGGTCTAGAGGGAACGGAACGTTTTAGGGAGTATGATTTCAGAATCTGTGTTATTATTCCGGCTGGGATGCGATTAGAAGCGGCAAATTATCTTCACTCTCACACATTTCTGGCTTGCGGTGTTTAGGGCGTTGAAAGTATGAGACTATCTGGTCTTTTATTACGGTGTTTGTCATAGCTGAAGGGGCGGAAACTAAGTACAAATTTTGGCGTTGAGTACTATCACTAAGTACTGAAAAAAACGATTTTTACCCTGCAGGTTTGCCAAGTTATTCAGTGAAACATTTATTTAGAGAATCAAAATAAAATCTCGCGTACTTGACCTCCCTCACCTTGGCTAGCTCGTAATGCATAGCATAATTTCGCGTGTGTGAGTCTAGTTAGCTACATAAAGATTATGCATCCTGTGTTATAAAAAGAATAGGCGGCGTTTAATGAAAGGCGTGGTTTTCTGGAATCTCGTGTAATAAAGATGCGACTACAACGCTGAATCTATCAACGCAACTATCGCCCCACAACTCCACCCGATAAGATAAAGAGCAAAAAGCCAGTTACCTACACATAAAAATTTGAAACTATAACTGTTAGCAAATTTATGAATCAGGCTTATTCATAAATGACTAAGCGCACCTGTTCAAGTAGATATATCCCTTAGTATTAGATAGTTTCTCTAACAGTATTGTCATTTGCTATCTAATACTAAGGGATAAAACGTGGAACCTCCAGCATCGGATTACTCGACTCGCCAAGTTACGAGCCGTGCACTGTCTGGACGATAGATGCATCAGTTGTTACTCACCGAGTAATGTAAGTGACGAGTTGTAGAGACAATCTGTCAAGTGAAGGAGTAGTCATTCTTTGATGACTCAAGTCATTGACAGAGTACTTCTCAGTTATGCGAGAAAATGAGACACGTTAAGAACAGAGTAGATAATTGGAACACAGTTTGGTAGATGGGAACTTCTATTAGACCCAACTCATATCACTACTGTGGGATATCAATTAAATCCGGACTCATCTACGCCTTAAATTTGCTGTGCAGTCTTATCAAGTTATACAAGTGATTAGAGTACGTATATCTTAATAAATACACATTTTTCATGCCTTACAGTGCAACAACACCATTATGATTGCCATAAGGGCTTCTAGCATACAAAGGACTATGTACATAGACTACTATTAACCCCATGATCGGGATACTTTTTTGCATGCAACAGGTGCTCTGACTCTAACTCAATACACGATGGTGTTGTGATCCGCCTCCCGGTGGTGTTCTCTGGTAAAGTCTGAGTAGCCTGGGCACCTACTCCACTTGGGAAGGAGACATCTCAGATTACATTTCGCGCGGAGAAAAGTTGATGGATGACGGAGGCATGTCTGAATAACTCAGGGTTTTTGAGACGTTCCCGTGAGTGGGTATTCACGGATGAGGGTTGACTTGGGATGAAGAAAAAGCCGGCATAACTTCGTAGTGGTACTTGCAAATGAAGTCTGAGGCATAAGTGTTCTTCCCTTACGTTGAATCATCTATTCTGTAATTTTCTTTGATATTGTGTCATAGCTAGATAGTTGCGCACGCAATTAAAATCTGATGCAAAAAAATAACTCATTACACGCGCAGATAAGTTTTTGTGCCATTCGTAGACTATTGAAGCATGGCAGGCCGTTGGTAATAAGTGACAGTGTCGTATAGAAGAGTCATGAAGCCATCTTCGTGGCTCGTCTTCGTGATTGCCTTTAAAAACCTTGGAACGATGTTGCTTGGATCATTAAGCGTAAGAAAAAATAGGTCACGAGTGGAAAGAGATACAATTGAGATGATAGTTTATCAAGGTGGTATGCAGGCTGGTGAGCTGTAGAGGTCTACCTGAAGGCGAGGGAAATCTACAGTAGATTTGAGATGAGTGAAATATTGGTGCTGTCTAAATTCAGAGATATCGCTTCGCTATATATATACGTTTCTCTCGCTAGTCTCAAATTTTGATCATTACACCAGTTAATCTCAAACCCCCATGGTGACTCCTTAACTCAGCTACATCAACTATTGATCACACATTGCATTATTTTAGATAAATTTACTACAACTCAGGTGTTGATAAGTATTATGTATTTCCTGTGAGAATAAACTTTCAGGGACTGAGTGGTGTTCAGCGATGCGCTGTGATGAGGCTCCTCAGGTCTAGGATAGGTCAAAGGCCACACATCTGCCGTGAGCTGGTTCTTCTAGACCAATCTCATACTGCTCACAGCATCGGGGCACCTAAAGATGCCATTTGGTATTTTTTTTTGAAAAGCTCAGTGGCGTCCAAAGCCTCGCCACCGTCTGCCCTGCCTTCAAGAAGATTCCCTCCCAAGAAGCCACAAGCGTAGGGCTCGAGTCTCGTAGTCTATCTTCTTCCCATGTCATCTTGATTTCATTCCTCCAAAAATTGAAGTAACTGCAATCAACGGGGTAAATTATCCTCTGGCATCAAGAGATATGCAGATTCGAGTAGAGTTACTCTTGTATTTGATCTTCCCTTCGCTTTATGTGTGGTTTCTACTCTGTTTCAGTTTTGAACTTTATATAATAGATAACTGACATTCTCAGCACTCCCATCTATTTAAGCATAGGTAGCATTGAACTGGATCAGGTTGACTGTCATTTGGTTGGGAAATACTATACTACCTTAGTAACCAAAGCACCACGTATTGAATCCATGGAGTGCATACCTCCAAGTCTGACCGTGTAAGAAACCTGGAGCTTTTGAATCTCATTGTCTTTTTATTATCCTGATTTGGCATCTTGTGGGCCCATGCTGATCTCTATGAAATGTGATGTTTACATGGGAGGAATCGTTTTGGCGAACAACCCGAGACCTCTGTTTATTGTTCTTGTTTCTCACATTGTTATTTTAATGAAGTTTTACATCCTACCTACTTTCACGTTAATCCATCAGGAATCGAAGTTACACTATAGTGCCATCTATACAAGCCAATCAGATCCAATCTATTGATCCCAATGACTGCTCGCCATGTTTCTTTCACTCAGTAGCATTTCGACTGCCTTTTTTCTGAAATTGCTCTATCCTACCATGCTCTAGTATCTGCTGGGTAATTACTTTGATGTCTAGTGTTTAACATGGCTTTGCTTGACTGGTCTCGAGCTATTCTTCAGATCTCCGCTCGACCGTTAGACCATTGGGGCAGGACATAGCCTTATGCTTGGGGTTATTGTCACGTAATCATTTTGGCAAGCGTATTATATAGCATTTTTTTTTTTTTTTTTTTTTTTTTTGCATCAGATTTTAATTGCGTATGCAGCTATCTAGCTATGACACAATATCAAAGAAAAGTACAGAAAAGATGACTCAATTTACAAGAGGAGCACTCATGCCTCGGATTTTATTTGCAGGTACCACTGCGAAGTTATGGTGGCTTTTTCTTCACCCCAAGTCAACCCTCATCCGTGAATACCCACCCAGGGAAACGTCTCAAAAACCCTGAGTTATCCAGACATGCCTCCGTCATCCATCAACTTTTCTCCGCGCAAAATGTAATCTGAGATGTCTCCTTCCCAAGTGGAGTAGGTGCCCAGGCTACTCAAACCATACCAGAGAACATCACCAGGAGGCGGACCACAACACCTTCCATCGTTTGCTTGTTTGTATAGTGTCAGCTGCACTCTCGCAAGCGAAGTCTTGGCGCGCACAAAGCCCAATTCGTAAAACTCTTGCCAAAATTCAAAATTCCACGCCCGTCGAAAACGTATCCCTCTTCTGCATCATCTCGTAAACTTGTCCTGATCCCTCTCACGTCCATCCCAAAGAACTATCTCCCAGATTTGTGCTCCACGCTTTGCTTCCTCCGTCGGGTGTAAATATCGGCGTGGGCATGTATTTGGTGACCAGCTGAGGCCAGAGAAAGTCGAAGAGTGGTGTGGTCATTGAAACGAGGATGTACTAGGTCGTACTTGTAGACTTGATGAAGCTTAGTTGAGAATCGGACTCTTTGGGAGTGAAAGATTGACATGGTGTAGTAATTTGAATTTTTGCCTCGTGGGCCAACTTCTTTGATATTGCGAAATTTGACTGAACTTGGCTCTGGGAGAATATTTCACTCCCAGGTTCGTAGAGAGCACCACTGACAGGTGTTCAGTCTTGCCCTCCTATATAGCATTTATTAGTGTTGTTCCAAGCGAAATAGTATATGCAAAATGGCTACTCGCACTCTTGTCATAACTTAGCGATCAATTTATCAATCAAATAATTGTTGAAATCTAGACATGCCAGACCGAACTGCGCGCAGTGCGGAGTAGACGAAGACTACTCATCTTCGATTGCTACCAGCTTTGGTCAGGTTTCGGTTGGTAATGATCTCAGTGGTAGAAATGTTATTCCATCACGTAATCAGAACATAATGCTTCTACCTAAGCGAGGTAGAACATAGATAGACAATTAGATGTACTGTGGTGCCACGATTTCAAGTTTTCAGTGGGTTTATATGGGGCGCATATTCGCTACAGGGGCTACACCCCTGTTAGCGCCAATTTCGGTAGGGTACATAATTCTTGTGCTGTATTTACAGGCCTAAACCGAGGGCACAATTTGATTTCATGTCACCCTCAGTTTTATGCAAATCCAACCCGCTCTCTAGTTCTTTCCCATTGCTTTGATGAGCGCCGACCGCTAAAAAAAATACACAGATCTTCTCACCTT